CAGAAGACTGATAGCTTTCATTTTTAAAATAGAAACTTTCCTTTTTATATGGAAGAGCTTTTTTTTCATCTCCAAGCTGTGTGCAGCAAGAGAATGATGAGAAGACTGCATGTGCAAACCATGTTGATGAGGGGTTTCAAAAACCTTATTAAAATATGTACACTGACTTCCAAGTTCAGATGATTTCCCTCTAGCTGACAGAGGTAATCCTGCTGCACATGACTATTCTGAATACATCTTTCCCAGAAATAACTTACTCCTAGAGAAATTGTATAGTGATACTTTTGATATAAAAATCAGTCAGATTATACCAGACTTATTTATCTTCTCTTATTTATTAGCAATATACTATATTTTTTCAGTGGAAATATTTTCTGGAATGTCTATTATGAAATTAATATTTCAAGTTCTTTTCTGCTATCTTCTGTCTTGTCTGGCAACAATTTATGTACAGATTACAGTTTTTTCTTTTCCAGCTTCTCACTCTCAGTCCCTTAAAAAGAGACTTAAAGTTTATCAATTTTACCGTAAGATAGAGAAGAAGTTTTTGTGAAATGATTTCTTAACATACTGGCCATCCTTTCCTGCTGCATAGTGGGGTCAGCTTTGTAATAACAGAAAACTGAGTGAATTACAGAGATAATCTAAAAGAAATATGGATTTTTTTCCATTAGAAGTTACCTGCTGATTTTTGTTGTAAAATTTACATTCCCCATTCCCCAACCCCATATCTTGCAGTATTTGAGGTGGCAGTTGCCAGTCATATGCTGACAGAGGCAGCAAGCTGTTTAAGTTGTCCTAGACTGTAAGTGCTTCATTAATTAAAAAACCAAATTGGAATGTACAAGGCAGACAAGCAGCAAAATTTTGCTTCAGTCCAGACAGGTTATACTCCTAGTGCTGGGTTTGTTTTGTACATAAACTACACATACTAGAGTATGCGCAATTAGCAGCTCTCTTCATTTTTGCAGTGAATTAAATTGTGACTTTCTGACAGGTTCATAAATGATGAATAGCTTCTAAAGTTTTACTTCAGGGGTAATTTTTCTGTCTAATCTCTCCTTGTGAATTAAACCTTAAGGAAGATGCAGAAAATCTTAACTTTTTCATTAGATAGGGATACATAATTTAGTAGCTCCTTTAGCTTCAATCCAATGTTATTCCATACTCTGGCTACAGCCATATTACAGCCACCTGATTTACACACTGACATTAGCTATTAATATCAATGTAATTGTAACCAGCTTGTTCTGTAAAAATTTTAGTAGACATGGTTAACTATGTTTTAGGAAAAAGAGGGAGTTAATGTATTTGAAGTTATGTTGCAGGGTGGTATGTTTTGAATATGAAGTTTGCATGTGTATTCAGAGCAAGGCATAATACCACCAAATACTTGCCTTAACACTGCAGCTTTTTGAATCCTGTTCTGCAGTTATTTGAGTTACTTCTGCTGAACTGCTCAGCACTGCAAGCAGTTCGGGGCCTCACTTTTTTTCAGTGCAGCAGAAGAGGTAGAAAGTTGATACTGTTTATTAAGTAAAAAATAATATTCCGATTTCACTTGATACTGCCTTCATTAGGGTAACTGTAGCTTCTACAGTCGTTACATTGCTTTTTGTTTTAATGAACAGATCATGAAACTGTTAGGAGATTTCTGAATTACCTTTTTTTCTGCTTTTTTTCAGCTTTTTGTGGCATTATTATACCTTTTGGTTTTGGAAACAGGCAGGCATAATTTCTAGCTTTTGTGTGGAAGGAAGCATTACTTCCTAACACTACTTGTTTGTGAGAAATTAACTGTTAAAATCATGCCAAAATGCAAATGAGGAGCCTGAGCAGAATGGCAGGAAGTTAAATCATAGCAGTCCACATTCTTGCAACCTGATGCAGTTGGAAATAATTCTGTAGTCCACTGGAAGGTTGGGAATGTATCGGTAGTTTCTTCTCGCCCTGGCTGCTTGTTGAATTATTGGGTCAGAAGATAGAGAATTCTCTTTTTGGCTTTTTAAATTAATCCAATATATTAACTGAAATAGACCAAAACTAATGTAGAGGAAGGATTTAACTGACAGCTTGTACAGTTTTTTTAAGCAAATAATAGCATGTGGAAATGGAAGAGGGAGCATATTTGAAGCATGGGAACAAGCTCTTAGCAAACATTTTGAGGGAATACCAGGTATGAGGAAATTCAAGACAGGTATATTTACCTCCTAAGCATTACAGGGGCATAGCTTTATTATGAAAGCAGCTGCTTTTCTCTCTAAAGAAGTGGAGAGTTATGGTGCTTTATTGTTGTAGAGCGGTTGCATTTTGCAAGCTGTGCCAGGCTTAGGGAAGGATTCTAGTGTGTTTAAGATGTCATTGAGAACTGAAGGCAGGAGGCAAAGGCTTTGTCTTCCAACAGCCCAAATGCAGCAAGCTCTTGGCCTCCAAGAGGTTACAGACCCCACTGAGAAAGCAGGTGGGCATTGGCTGGGCTCCACTCCAGCAAAAGCTGCAGCCACTGAAATCTCAGGGCTGTTGTGCTCCAGCAGCGCTGCCACTCAGCACTGCTGCCTGGGAAAGCTGGAAGAGAGCAAAGAATCCACGTAGGATGATGGGACTCAGGATGAGACTTTTAAAAGTTTTGCTGAACACTACGGACAGAGGCAAAGAATTACATTAAGATATTTATTTAAATAGCCCTTGATCTTGATAGCTGAAGAAGAACAGAATTATAGCTCTGAACAAGCTTAATATAAGAAATTCCAACTGCCACAAAGTATGATGGGCTTTTTTCTGCCCTAAGGTAACACAGGCACAAAATAGAATCTTTGTGGACAACAGAAATGTATACAAACATTCCATGTTAAGAATAGATTAAACTGTTCTAAGAAGTATTAAATAAAATATAACTTCTCATGATACACTGAACTTCATGGTACTTCATATGTGGCTTAGCAGAACTCACCCAGCTCTGCACAAGAAGCTATTTGTATGGAGAAAAAAATAAATAAATTACTGCCACTGTAAGTAGGGCTTCCATGCAGAATTTAAGATGCAATTTGTAAAATATGGACAGTTACTTTGAATTTTATTCCCAGCAGTTTCCTTCTGGATCTAAATCTATACTTCTATCTACAGGAATATACTTTTTAGTTTCTGATTAGGTGTAATAATGGGACTATGTAATGACTTCTAGTGAAGCAGAGATAAAAGGGAGTGTATGATGCTAAGTAATGATAGGTTGTTTCTGTAGTCATGGCAAGGGATGTGTTTAGAATACCAACAGCTTATTGACTAATAGCTTTGTGCAATTTATGGATTATGAATAATACAAAAAACTTCCTGTAGAGGGACTTTTTACATGGACATTAGTGTGATTATAAAAAATATACAGGTCTATTCATTGGAAAACCTGTACAGTCAATTTTGCAGCAATCACATATTTCTGAAAGGTAATTAAATCTGCATGTGTATAAAGTATTTAAGTAGTAGATACAACAGTTGTATTTTACGGTTGTTTCTTAGTGGCTTCTGACATTTAAATATGTTACTTAAAAGAGGCAGTAGGAAAAAGAATCTAAATGCCTTGTCTTTCCCATGTAAACCATATGTTCCTACGTTGTCTAAATTCAGTGAATGATCAACAATATAGAGAGACAGACATTTATTGAGAACAAGTATCTTCTGTCTCTCAGTTATGATGCTAATAAATGAAAAATATTCTTTGAAACCCTAAGGACATAAAGTCCTACATGCCAGGAACATGGGATTTTATGGCCCATGGAAACATTCTGGATTTAAAACAGACTTTACAACTTTGATACTGTGGGAAGACATCAGTGTATACACAAAACAGTTCTCTACTCTGCAGTAATGCCTTGTTGGCTTCAATAACGCATGCAGTCACACCAACAACTCCTAACAGAATAATTTAAAATAATAATCATCATTAAAAAAACCAAAAATACATCGGACTGGAATCCCCATCAAGGCTCCTATTGCTCAAGAAGATACAAAATGCTAGAAATAATCTCTTGAGGCACAAGGTTAAGTGCTACATCGAGATTTCTTTTCTAACAGAAACCCCTCGCCCATTGTCGAGCTGTATAAATAATAGCACAGACAAAGAAATGCTCAGATGAGGAGCCTTGCTCGGTTGTTTACCTCTGAACAGAAGTAAGTTAGAGACAGGATTTAAAAGCCTCAAGAAGAAAAAGGACAGGTAAACACCAGTCAGGGCTGTGACTCAGTTACCCAACTGATTTTATGAAAACCTTACTGAAAACAGACCTTGCTCCCGATAACAAGTGTGATAAGCTGAACGGTGTTGAGCAGCTCGTCAGGAGAGTCCCGAAAGCAAAGAGTATTTTTACTGTGCAAAGACGAGCGTAGGATATTGCCGGTGTGTCTCTGGAATATACGGGTCACTGGGGTAGAGTCGCTGCCACTGTGACCCACGTTTCTGCAGGCTGGGATCCCCCCGAACCCGAGGCGTCCCCGACGGTGGGATCCCCAAACCCGAGATGCCGAGGTATTCCCTCAGCTGGGACTTCCCAAACCCGAGGTGCCGAGGTGTCCCCGCCTCTGGGACCCCCCAAACCCGAGGTGCCGAGGTGTCGCCGCCGCTCGCCCGCGCTAGCGGGACGAGGGGCAGCCCGGGATGGGTGGAGGGTCCCCGGCCCGGCCCGGGTTGGGCTCCGGCAGCTCCCGCCCCGCAGCCCCGAGCCGCAGCGCTGGGTCTCGCGTGGGGCAGAGCGGGGCTAGAGAGCGGCGGCCGCCGGGCAGGAACGCGGGGCCGTGGGGATGTGCGGGGCACCGGCAGCTGCCCGGGAAGAGCAGCCCCGGCAACAGCAGCGGGGCGGCCGCCCCTGCGCAGCCCCCTCGGCCGCCGCTCCGAAGTTTCCTCCGGCTCAGGGAGGGCGCCGCGGGCAGCACGGGGCGGCCGAAGGGGCGGCGCCGCCGGGGGTACCGCGGTCCCCGCTCCGGCGGGGCGCTCTGCCGTCCGCGGCTCCTACCTTCCAGCACCGAGCAGAGTTTGTGCAGGGCCATTGTCTCCCGGCGGCGGCGGCGATCAGCGGCGCTCCATGGCCGCGGCGGTGCCCCCCGCGAGGGCGCTGTGCCCGCGGCTACGGCTCGGCCCCCGCCCGCCCGCGGCCATGCCCGGAGCCCCCGCGGGGCGCTCTCAGCCTCCGCCGCCCGAGCGCGGAGCCGCCGCCGCGCTCAGTCCCATGGAGAGCGGGGCGCGGCGGGCTCCGTCGAGGCTGGCCTGTCCGGGGGGGCTCCCCGCACCGCGCTCGGAGCGCAGCCCAGCGGTTCCCAGCCCGACTGAAGCGGCTGCTGCTAAATGAAGCTCATTTAAGATGTGAGGGGTGTTTGCCTGGATGAGCTGCTTGTACGCATGTGCCCGCCCCCGACGGAGCCCCGCAAGCAGCCACAGCCGCAGCCGGCGGGGCCGCTGTGCTCCTCCCGCTCGGCCGGGCACCGAGGCGGGGGCGACAGCGCTGGAGCAGCACCCGTTCTCACCCCGTGCCCACGGGGGAGCCGGGGCTGGCCCCGTTGCAGCGCCCGCCTCGGTCCCGCACCTCGGCCCCCGCCGTGCCTCACGGCCCAGGCCCATCCTGCCCCCGTCTGCCGGGGTTTTCCCGTGTGCGGTGCTGGCTGCCCGGAGAGCGTCCCCCGCGGCGGAGGGGCCCAGCCGTGCGGCCCCTCTCCAGGACACGGTGGCTTGGATAAGCCTGAATCCCTGCTTCCCGGCTTTGTTTGGGATCTGAGTGGGTCCCGATGGGGTAAAAGGAACACGGTGCTCCCCCTGGTCCTCCGTGGCTCCCCTTCGCCACCTCGCTGGTGGCAGGGAGCCCGCGGCTCCGGCAGTGCGGCGTGCCCGGCTGCCTGCCTGGATGCAGTGTGCTGCCTGCAGCTCCGGCACCGGGAAGAGCCCATCACACGCTATTGTGCGGCTGTTGTTTGACAGGAGTGACAGCTAAAATGGAGCTATTACTTTACAAGAAGTTAATAAAAAGGCGCATTTAGCCTGCTGCCTGCCCTGGCTCCCGTCCCCCTGGTTATCCATCACATCGGGTTAGCTTGCGAGGGGAGATGTTACTTCGGGAAAGGGCCTGAGGTGGAGGCGGGTGGCGATGTCGGGGAAGGGCAGGGAGGGAGAGGCCCCGGCCAGCAGATCCCGCCGCGGGGACTCCCGTCCTGGCAGACCCCTCCGAGCTGCCGAGGGAGGTGCGTGAGGGCGAGAGCCGCGGCTGTGCCGGACAGCCGGGGGCATCGCCGCGGAAGGCTGGATTGCCACAGGCTACGTGTAAAATGATAGCAACACGGTAGTTCCTTAGAGATGCTTTCAAATCTCCCATAGGCAACGCGGGTTGAAGAATCGCTGGGCATTTCCTCCAGGATGTCTCCTCCCTGGAACTGCCGATTAGGCGAGGCTGAGATCTTTCGCTCAGGCTCCGGAAGTATTGAAACAAGGAGATACTTAGACCCGTGCGTGTTGCAAAGCTCTGCGCAAGGGGCAGGAGCTGCCGGGGGTTGCCGTGCCCGGGAGCTGCCCCGGCCCCGCTCCCGGGGCGGCGGATGTCGCGCTCTCCGTTCGGGTCACCGCTGCACCTCCAGCTGCCCCACGCGCAACTCCGCTGTCCGAGCGCAAGCACTTTGTGAAAGCAATTTGGAACCAGCCCGCTCGCTAGACCCAACAGATTTTGCAAACTGTAAATTATATGCGTACTTGCCACTTGCGAGTGTGTCTGCTTAAGGAGTAGGGCAGCTCAGTACTGTGTCCAACACGAGCGTGCGAGGTGAAGCTCTGATTTCTTTGTGGTTTGGTGCTGTGTATTTGAATGTTAAATTCTTTCTACAGTGTTCAAAGGTCAGCCTACCCTGTTAGAAAAGGTCATTCTCTTGCTTCAGATTATCTGCTAAATATTTCAGGCGCTACAAGTCAGTGTGATTGTCAGCGAAGGCGAATTAAACGGAGAAGGGAGCGGAGAGCAGCGGGAGGGAGCGGGCGCGGGGCCCCGCGGGGCGGGGGGCGGCAGCTCCTCCCGGACCCCCGGCGAGACCTCGCAGCAAAGGTCCTGAGCTTTTCTGGGTATTAAAGATCCATTTCAGTGTTGGAAGAAGCTTCATGAAGTATTAAGCTTGATGGTCTGGCAAAATCCCAAGTTACATAATTATATTATTCTACTTAGTTGAATTGTCCTTTCAATTTCAAATAGAGATGATACAGTCCTCCTCCAAGCCTAGTTTTCCCATGAATTGTGAAATAGCAGCTACATTCCAGCAGTGGACAAAGCAATTCCTCAGTTCCCCTCTTAACCATGTATTTACAGTGGTGTGTGATGAAGAAAAGTTCTATAGTGGAAACTCCTATACATAACGAAGTCCTCAATAGGTGTATCTACTTTGCATTATTTTATTTACTAACAAAAATATTTACTGTAGTAACGCAAGAAAATATCCAAGACTTCTGTATCTGGGCATCATTCACAATTTTTTAATCCTCTCTGCAAGTACATAATTAAAATCTGACTGTGCTCTTATGCAGATTGTTAGGAAACAGGGGGTTGCCTGCTTTTTTTTTTTTGGTTTTTTTTTTTTTGGTTTTTTTTTTTTTGGTTTTTTTTTTTTTGGTTTTTTTTTTTTTGGTTTTTTTTTTTTTGGTTTTTTTTTTTTTGGTTTTTTTTTTTTTGGTTTTTTTTTTTTTGGTTTTTTTTTTTTTGGTTTTTTTTTTTTTGGTTTTTTTTTTTTTGGTTTTTTTTTTTTTGGTTTTTTTTTTTTTGGTTTTTTTTTTTTTGGTTTTTTTTTTTTTGGTTTTTTTTTTTTTGGTTTTTTTTTTTTTGGTTTTTTTTTTTTTGGTTTTTTTTTTTTTGGTTTTTTTTTTTTTGGTTTTTTTTTTGTTTGGAATGCATAGGATAGCTGATGGCAAAACTTGACTTGGATATTTTTATTACTTGTGATGATATAAGAAGTGAGAACTGGCTGAATTTGCCTTAAAGAGAACTATTTGTGGTCAATTGTCTCTCACCAAAGAGCCAGGAGAAAACCTTTGTAATGCTGTGTGCTCAGTGCAAGTTTGGGTAGTAATTGCAAAGACTCAATCTGCTACAGTCAATTTAACTGAAGAGCTGAACTTCTGGTTTGTCCATTAGAAGGTTGAACAGAGCTATTACACACTTGGGGAAGGGAGCAGCTTTTCCATCCTGTTCTCTTTCCCAGGCTGTGTCAAGCTGTCAGTGTGGGAGAGGCAGGGAGTAACATCAATTTGTAGATTTGGGACACATTTTGCCTCTGCTGCTTTCAGAGACATTTCTCCTGTGGACATGCGTGTTGCTTTGTTTTGCTGGAGTTCTTGTTGCAAGCGGTGCTTTCACTAGTGGCAGGTCTGAAGAAACTTTCAGTTCCCATCTTCTGAGGCTGCAGAGTGCAGATTTCCAGCGAGGAAAACGCTCTGCCACTGGGTCACACCAACAGTAAGCTTGGCTTAATTAAACTTGAGTTTCGGAGTTAAGAAAGGTTGAAGACAGCTTTTGGACAGGCAGCTGTGTGTATTGTTCTGATGCTCTATCAAGTATTTCAGTTTCAAGCAGTAGTTCAGGGAAGGCAGTGGGACTCATTCTGATGTAGGTATACACCTGCATGAGCAGCTGATGAATGAGTCAGTCACAACAGTGCTCTGCTGCAGCTAAAGGCTTACATTTGTATTATTAGAACTGGCTTTGCCTCCTCCTTAAAACTTCCTTTGATTTGCTGCTCTGTGAGAATTTTTAACTTTAATTTACCTAAAATATTTTCTGCTCTTGAGTAGCAAAGTGTACAATCCAAACAGCCTTAGACCAGCAGCTATTTGGACATTGTTTTTAAAAGAGGTTGCAAAAATATAGACGTTAACAGTGAATAATTATGAAAGGAGATGAGGAGTTATGTTTCAACTGTTCTGTTACTTGGTTTTGTCAGTACGATTTAGGTGCCTTTGATAAATCCTAATTTCATGATACAATTCCTATAATTACACAATTACAGAAGGTGCAAGTGCCTCAGTATTGTATTATAATACAATTGTAATTGTTTTACAATATGTAATACATAATCATACATAAATATGCACAGTTGGCTCTGTTATTTACTACTGAGTAATGAATACTACAAACTTTTCAATAGTCAAGAAGAAAACTCATAGTCTTCAGAAGGCTTAGAGTACACTTCTCTATTTGGCAGGCAATATAATTAGATCTGACTGTTAGAATATACCTACAGACTTTTTTGGCTTAGGTTGAAAAATTCATTAATTTCAAAATTAGGTTATAATTGTTATGGATTGTATCATAGATGGGATCACATTTTTCACTGAAGTCAGGAATTAATTATAAAAAGAGTGCTGTGTGGCTGATTATTTTCAAAGTAACAGGGAGGCCAGTATCAGAAGTGCCTCAAGAACTAGATCCTGTCCCCAGAATGGACAGTAGGGTTACTAAAGCAGCATAGCAATATCAGATTTAACTCCTCTACTGCTCTTGATTTCCTAACATACTTCTTTGAACAAAACACTTGCCCATCCCTATAGAATTAGTACTACATATTTGCAAAGTATGAGATTATTTAAGCATAACTGTATTTCCTAAATTAAAAAAAAATAATTTGTTTGGTTATTAATACCTTCAAAACAGAGACAGTTAATGCTTTTACACTGTTGATTATAATATAGCAGAATCTTATGGATTGACTTTTCCTGCTCTATTTTAGTGTCATTCATTTGAAAGAAGTTATATGTATCAATTACAATTCATTGGTATCTATTCATTATCTAATATTGGCACAGGCTGGGGATCAATAGGTCCAGAGCAAACCTGCAGAGAAGGACCTGGGGGTTAGTAATGGGAGGGGGATTCTGTCCCTCTGCCCCACTCAGGTGAGACCCCACCTGCAGAGCTGGGGCCCAGTGCAGGAAGGAGCTGGAGCCAGGCCAGAGGGGGCACCAGGACGAGCAGAGGGATGGAGCAGCTCTGCTGGGAGGAAAGGCTGGGAGAGCTGGGATTGTTCAGCCTGGA